ACGACTTACAGCCTCAGCATAGCTCTAAATAAATTTCCAAAAAAATCCTCGGCAAAGCCGCAGCAAAATTCCTTAAGCATCCACGACATAGAGCCCCAGAACAATTCCTTAGAAATCCACGCCTTAGAGCCTCATCATAGCCTCAAAAAAAAAATTCCTTAAAAATCCAGGACTTTAAGGTTCAGTATAGCCTTGGAAATTTTCTTAAAAATGTACGCCTTTGAGGCTCTGCATAGCCTTAGAAAAATTCTTTAAAAATCTAAAGAATTCTTAAATCCTCTGCTATTATTTTGACCTCTACTGTCATCCTCCGAACAAATATCTTTCAATGATTCCTCAAACGATTTGTTTCCGAATAAAATATAGTAAAACAATCTTCTTATCGCTTCACTGGTTTCCTCGCTCAAATAACATTTTCGCCATAATGACAATTCGCCAGCAACAACAACAACAACGACAGTATCATTCACTTTCCTCAACGAGATTTGGCAGCAAACAAACAACAAAAAAGGGAAAGGGTGATTTTATTACCAAAGTCCATAAATGGTGATGTCTGAACAAGGGACCTCCTAATAGTTTTGTCACTAAAGACCACCAACCGTGGCCAAAGATAAACAACCTGACACTTTGGATGGCTGGCTTGCTAACTCCCTCTACCTCCCTCTATATCTCCCTTCCTTCTATGCCACCACCACCCTGAAAGCCAAACCGTCGAACCATTCCATCTGAATGGCATTCCATCCATCCATCAACAAAATACGCAATACGATCGTATATCTTGCATAATTTGATGCGAAGTGTTAGCCGGGTACCATTATTTGTTGTCGTCGATGTTTGTAGAGCTTTTACTTGCTTTCATTGTCCAGCTATCCCTTTTCACCATCATCATCGTATTTACCTATTGATGAGGCTAATGTTTCCAAACGATTGTGATGAGGCGATGATGGGAATGCTTTCGCATTTTTTCCACTGAATCCATTGATGGATAGACGGGCGGACGAACGGACAGACGTGACGCTAGTAATGCTCATTAGCATTTTATGACGTTTGCAGACCATTTCCATGATAATGAAAAATGGAAATGGAGCTATTGGAAGAAAACTCATATGCGAGCAAGCGAACGTATGAAATACCTAAAAATGGTCAATGGGTCCATAATAGAAAGGAATTGCGAAATAGAATCGAAATTGGAACCCAGTGAACAAAAACAAAAGCCTTATGACCTAACACTGTCTAGAGGCACAGTGTACTACAAAATTGTTTGAACCATCGACGCCTTGTGAGCATCCCGAAAAACGTCTTTAAAAATCCACGACTTAAAGCCTCAACATAAACTCAGAAAAATTCTTTAAAAATCCACGCCTTAGAGTCTCAGCATAGCCTCAGAAAAATTCATTAAAAATCCGTGACTTAGAGCCTCAGCATAGCCTCAGAAAAATTCATTAAAAATCCGTGACTTAGAGCCTCAGCCTAGCTTCAGAAAAATTCTTTAATAATCCACGCCTTAGAGTCTCAGCATAGCCTCAGGAAAATTCCTTAAAATCCGTGACTTAGAGCCTCAACCTAGCTTCAGAAAAATTCCTTAAAAATCCACGTCTTAGAGTCTTAGCATAGCCTCGGAAAACTCCTTAAAATCCACGACTTAGAGCATCAGCATAGCCTCAGAAAAATTTCTTAAAAAAACACGACTTAGAGGCTCAGCATAGCCTCAAAAATTTTCTTTAAAAATCCACGCCTTAGAGTCTCAGCATAGCCTCAGAAAAATTTTGCAAAACCCACGACTTAGAGCCTCAGCCTAGCCTTAGCTTTGTCTTAGAAAAAATCCTGCAAAACCCACGACTTAGAGCCTCAGAAAAAATCCTACAAAACCCACGACTTAGAGCCTCAGCATAGCCTCAGGAAAATTCCTTAAAAATCCACGCCTTAGAGCCTCAGCATAGCCTCAGAAAAACTTCTTAAAAAAACACGACTTAGAGCCTTAGCATAGCCTCAAAATTTTTCTTTAAAAATCCACGCCTTAGAGTCTCAGCATAGCCTCAGAAAAATTCCTTAAAATCCACGACTTAGCGCATCAGCCTAGCCATAGCTTTGCCTCAGAAAAAATCCTACAAAACCACGACTTAGAGCCTCAGCATAGCCTCAGAAAAATTCCTTAAAAATCCACGCCTTAGAATCTCAACATAGCCTCAGAAAAATTCCTACAAAACCGAAAATGACTTGTGAGCATCCCGAAAAATATGATTTAAAAAATCTACGCCTTGTGAGCATCCCGAAAAATATGATTTAAAAAATCTACGCCTTGTGAGCATCCCGAAAAATATGATTTAAAAAATCTACGCCTTGTGAGCATCCCGAAAAAAATGATTTAAAAAATCTACGCCTTGTGAGCATCCCGAAAAATATGATTTAAAAAATCTACGCCTTGTGAGCATCCCGAAAAAATGATTTAAAAAATCCACGCCTTGTGAGCATCCCGAAAAAATGATTTAAAAAATCTACGCCTTGTGAGCATCCCGAAAAAAATGATTTAAAAAATCTACGCCTTGTGAGCATCCCGAAAAAAATTATTTAAAAAATCTACGCCTTGTGAGCATGATTTAAAAAATCTACGCCTTGTGAGCATCCCGAAAAGAATGATTTAAAAAATCTACGCCTTGTGAGCATCCCGAAAAGAATGATTTAAAAAATCTACGACATGTGAGCATGATTTAAAACATCTACGCCTTGTGAGCATCCCGAAAAGAATGATTTAAAAAATCTACGACATGTGAGCATGATTTAAAACATCTACGCCTTGTGAGCATCCCGAAAAGAATGATTTAAAAAATCTACGCCTTGTGAGCATCCCGAAAAAAATTATTTAAGAAATCTACGCCTTGTGAGCATCCCGAAAAGAATGATTTAAAAAATCTACGCCTTGTGAGCATCCCGAAAAAAATTATTTAAGAAATCTACGCCTTGTGAGCATCCCGAAAAAAATTATTTAAAAAATCTACGCCTTGTGAGCATCCCGAAAAAAATTATTTAAGAAATCTACGCCTTGTGAGCATCCCGAAAAAAATTATTTAAAAAATCTACGCCTTGTGAGCATCCCGAAAAAAATTATTTAAAAAATCTACGCCTTGTGAGCATGATTTAAAAAATCTACGCCTTGTGAGCATCCCGAAAAGAATGATTTAAAAAATCTACGCCTTGTGAGCATCCCGAAAAGAATGATTTAAAAAATCTACGACATGTGAGCATGATTTAAAAAATCTACGCCTTGTGAGCATCCCGAAAAGAATGATTTAAAAAATCTACGCCTTGTGAGCATCCCGAAAAAAATTATTTAAGAAATCTACGCCTTGTGAGCATCCCGAAAAGAATGATTTAAAAAATCTACGCCTTGTGAGCATCTCGAAAAAAATTATTTAAGAAATCTACTCCTTGTGAGAATCCCGAAAAAAATGATTTAAAAAATCTACGCCTTGTGAGCATCCCGCCTTATGGGCTTCATGAACAAATTATTTTTAAAATCTACGTCTAAACAATTATTGCCTAAAAGTATGCACAAAAAATATGACAAGAAATGTTACAAAATGTTCATGTTTGTAGCATAGACACGAACCCGCAGTGGCGAATTGTAGGCGCCACCTTGTGATCGATAGCAAAGGTATTTTAATGGGATTTGAATCGAATGCCGATAAATCTCCTACTTTCGTGGATTCGAATAATCCACGGCTTATGGGCTTTATGAAAAAAAATATTTAAAAAAACTACGCATTATGGTCGTCTTGAAAAAAAATGATTTAAAACATGTTCGCCTTCTGGGCTTCGAATAATCTACGGCCATTTACGCCTTATGGTCCTCTTGAAAAAAATTATTTAAAAAATGTTCGCCTTCTGGGCTTCGAATACGCCTTATGGGCTTCATGAAAAAAAAATGTTCGCCTTCTGGGCTTCGAATACGCCTTATGGTCGCTTCGAATACGCCTTATGGTCGTCTTGAAAAAAATTATTTAAAAAATTTACACCTTATGGTCGTCTTGAAAAAAAAATATCCTTTTAGATCCTTTGAAAAGAATTATTTAAAAAATCTACGACTTATGGTCGTCTTGAAAAAAATTGTTTAAAAAATCTACGTCTAAAAGTTATTGCCTAAAAGTATGCAAAAAATATGACAAGAAATGTTACAAGGTGTTCATGTCTGTAGCAAAGACACGAACCCTCAGTGGCGAATTGTAGGCGCCACCTTATGATCGATAGCCAAGGTATTTTAATGGGATTTGAATCGAATGCCGATAAATCCCCTACTGTCGTGGATTCGGTTAATCTACGCCTTATGGGCTTCAATAAAAAAAATATTTAAAAAATCGCCCTGTGGGCAACCCGAAAAAAAATTATTTGCAAAATCTACACCTATTTGGGAGCTTGAAAAAATCTTTAAAAAAAAATCCACCCTTTTCTTCACTGGGTTATGTTCTCCACTGGATGCTATTTTATGATAAGCTATGCTATACCAATTTGAAATCAATGAATTGTTATAGCATGGCGTAAACGTCACATTACCTCTCTCGCTCTCTTCTGGACCCCCTCATCACGTTAAAGGGTTTTATGAGCCAGAAAAAACAGCTTTTGATCTGATTTTATTGCAAATATTTTCATGGATTGCGAACGCTGGGCCTATTAACTCTGCAGGTGGTCCTCCGTTTTTTTTTTTTTTTTTTTGGAAATGTGATTTTTATTCAGCTGCCATTGTTAAGCTAGACAATGGCCCTGCGACATGTTGGAGCTGCCTGCATTGAAAGCAGCTGGAATTCGGCTGATTGACTGGTTTGGAAAATTTGGATTTTTGTTTTGGGATTTTTTAATTTAAAAGGGCTTTTGAAAATAGATCAGGGGGAATCAATCGATTTTTTTTTCGATATTTGAAAATCTCCTGGGGAGTTTGATTGTTGTTTTGTTATTTCGAATTCCGATTTAGCAATTTTTTAATTAATGTTTTTTGTCTTTTTTTCCAGATTCTCACATCCCCCATTTGTGTGACAATGTCAGATGCCCTCCCCTGTCGGAAATGCATTGCCCCGAGGACAGTGATATCCGTGAACTGATACCCGAACCTTTGATTATGGAAGATGACTTCCATAATACCTCCTATATTGATCCGCTGGATGAGGCCTATGCTTTTTGCTGTTTAAGCCAGAAATGTGTCTGTAAGACGTGTTATATACCCGATTGTGCCAGTGATTCGGAAGTGGTGGTAGAAATCTCTCCCGAAAATATGGATCACCCAGGCCATTGCTGTGGCCAATATGAATGTCATCGTGAACCAAATTGTACTGCGGAAATTAATACCGATAGCTATTGGCTTACCGATTGTCAACGATGCAAATGTCAGGCCGGACAGAAAATCTGTCATCAAATCTGTGATGAAGGTATCAAGAAGACAGGCGGAGCAATTTGTGAATCGAAAAATCTGAATAAATTCTTTGAACATGGTGACACTTGGAAGGATGGTTGTTACGATTGTCGCTGTGTCAATGGTGAGCCACATTGTGTCATTAATTTCTGTAGTGCTGTCGATTGTCCGACACATCGTCAGGTGACATTGAAGGATATGTGTTGCCCCGTCTGTTGGCCTAAAGGTTTTCCCATGCCCAATGGGGATGATGAATATGATGATAATGGTGGTGATTCCGGGCATCACTATGATGATGTTCATGACTACAATGAGGTGGAGGCGAATGTGGAACCGAATTTGGAATTGAAACCGATTGCCGAGGTGGAGAATAGCACCACATCAACAACGACAACAAGTACTACCACAACCACCACGGCTGCTCCAACCACTACCACAGCAGCTCCAAGTAGCTCCACTACCAGCACCTCAACCTCTACAACTACCACCTCAACCTCTACCACCTCCACTACCCCCAAACCCGAAGAAAAGGTCACACAAAGTCCAGTAGAATTATTGAACCAACCCCTAGGTTCTACCACCTCCTCACCCCCTGCCATACCTTGCCCCACAGGAAGCTCTGCCTCCAGCACCACCACCAGCACCACGCCTGGTCCCTGCACCCATCAAGATGCCGCCTCTTACCAAGTCTATCCTCAAGTTGTAGAACTGATGCGCTATAGCCAACATAATGATTTACTCTATACCATCATCGGTTGCCTTTCAGTCCTCGTTGTCGTCTTGGCCGCCTGGAATATCCATTTGAAGGCGAAACAGAGATCATATCGTCCTGTATCAAATTTTGATGATAACTGCAATACAATGTCTAATATTAAGAAAACTAATGATTATGTTTAAGCGGAACCTAATTTTTTCTAAGTTTTAAATATTTTTTTTCATAAGAACAACAAAAAAAACGCAAACGCAGCTAATATTGAAAGAAAAAACATTAATGGGAAATTAGGGGAGATTTTCAGAAGGGTGAGGAGGCGAAGAAAAGAAATTTTGTACAGAGGAGTAAGGGGAGGACACATTTTTTTACTTCAGGGTCTTCAAAGATCTTCTGGAGACCATCTATAGATAGAAGACCTTTTAGAGGCTCTTTGCAGAACCTTTTAGAGTCCTTCTAAATATAGATGATCTCCTAAAGGCCTTCTATAGATAGCAGACTTTCTGCATGACTTCTATTGATAGTAGATCTTCTAGAAAACCTACTAAAGACCTTCTACAGATAGAAACATTGTAGAGGCCCTATACAGACAGAAGACCTGTACAGGTAGAACGACTTCTAGTAATATTTTATTAATCGGAGACCTTCGGAATGCCTTCCTGAGACAGTATATTAATGTGAGATCTTCGAAATGCCCTTCAGAGGCCTTCTGCAGATAGAAGACATTTTAGAAGCCTTACAAAGATAACAGACTCTCTAGAGGTCATGTAGAGATAGAAGACCGTTAAAGAACCATATGGAGGCCTTCACGACTAAAAAACATCTATGGGTCTTCTTTTCATAATAGGACCTATAGTAGGTTTTGTATAGGTCACCTTGAAAGAGGTGTCCACATTAGAAGTTTTTGAATGTATCCTTTAGAAGTTATCCTACGGCCTTTTGCAGAAAGAAGATCTCTTAGAGGTCTTGTAAAAAATACAAAAATACCTTCTTTTTTATCTTTTACAGATTATATATCTTCAGGGTGCCTTCACACATAGAAAACCGTATATGTCTTCTTTGCATTGCAGGTCATATAGAGGGCTTCCTATAGACCCACTTGAAAGAGAACGTATTTTAAATTTCAGAACGTATTTTAAATTTATTGTAGGGCTTCCTTATATGAGGTCATTTTTAGGATTCCCTATATTGTATAGGGGTCCCTTAGGAAAATTCTACTATATGATTTATATAACTCCTATATGTATATATATATATGGACTTATATATGTCCCTTACAAAACTTCTTCGATAGGTCCCTTAGAGAATACATCTAAAGGTCCCCTATAGATGGCCTTGTGTATGTGTCTTACAATGGAAATTTTCTGCCATAATATATTTTTTTCTCTAAGAACCCGATGTTATGGCCACTTCACTTGAAAAACTGAGGCAAAGACCTTAACAGTACCGAAAAACTTTCAGAACCCCTAATATAAAGCTATAGTTCTTCCAGGAGGTCTTATATCCTCTAAACACCCTAAATGAATTATTAAAGCCACTCCGCATAGAAAATGAGTCCTTCGAAATACCTAAAAATAAGTCGAACCTTGATTATGGCCTACGAACTGCCACTCCGGTTAGAAAATGAGGCTACACCCTTCAAAATAGCAAAATTTCGAGGAACCTTTAATATGACGAAACTTTGCTGTTTTCTTTGGCTCTGTGGAAATTATGGGAGCCTATTCCAAAATTGGGCTTTATATTCAAAATATTCACCCATGAGGTTATTTTTGCTATGCAAACCCAAAAATGTCAAATGCTTATTACTTCCGTCTGAATATGCGACCAAGATCCCAGAAAAAAATATCTGAAAATTGGTTTAATAACCCGACCATAAAATGTTTAACAGATTTTTTTTCATATGTCTTTCATGATCTTAAAAATCGAAATGTTAAACCAACCGACACTTCGTTAGAAAAAGACACACAGGTTCCTTAAAATATCAAAATTATCAGAAACGGAACCTTATATGAAACTTCAATTCAAATTTAATTATAAATTTCAGCCTAGAGGTCTTTTCCCCACTGATAACTCGAAAAATCCCAAAATACAACCACTTTGATCGGAAAAAGCGATCAAGACCCCACAAAAATGTCTAAAAATTGCTTGAGTCCCGCCAAAAAGGGTAACATTTTGAAAAGATTCTTTCCTGAGGTATTTCAGGCTCCAACAAAGCGAAATATTATATTATATAGAACCTTTAAAAAGTGCGAAAAATCCGATAAAGTCCCTTATATGGGGCAAAACAAGGATACACCCTTGAAAAACTGTCAGCAATATAAAGTTCCTAGTTACAGAATTTTGGGTGAAAATGCGGTCAGGACCTTCAAAGTGCCCAAAATTGGAAGGGACCTTTACAAAACGTGGACCGATTCAATGCCAAACATCCTAAGAATTTTTCTCAATGTCCGAACAAATTTGCAAAGCTCTATGTTAAAGTTCCCGAGGTCTTTTGTAATTTTAACAGGTAGATAGGAGTTCGAAATGGAATTGTACTAGGGTCAGGATTATACCGTATGAGGTCTCCGAATATTTTAAAGGTGTTTCCAATTGATTGAATAATTGATTATATATGTACCCTCCCTTTGTCGTATGCCACTTCTGAAAGTATTCCCCATTTCTGTATTTTTTTGCAAATAATATTAAGTTGTATAGTTTTATAAATACCGTTAATAATTATTTTTTTTAAATAATTTTATTTTTTTCTGTTCTGTTATCATTGAAATATACATTCTTGTTGTTTTTTATTTCCTGTTTCTTAATATTACTGTTTTACACCCTGCCTTTTATTTCCTATTTAGCGCTGAGGATCTCAAAAAAATACGATGAAATTAAAATTAAAAACAAATTAAATATTTTTTTCCAAAAACCACAAAAAACATGTAATAAATAAAATTAAATACTTACATAAATTAAAATTAAAACTAAATTTAAAAAAAAAAATATTTTAGATCCCCTAATTTATATAAAGAAAGTATTCAATTAAAAATATCATATATAAATTATAGTTAACACAATATTGGATTAAGTTTTAAATTTAAATAATACCCCATCCCCAGAGAGAAGAAAGAGATAGCACGATAAGTAAACTCAAAAATAAAATGGGTATTTAATGTGTGCCACGGTTGAGCCTCAAATCCAAATTTTATGTATATTTTTCAAAGCAAAAAAATCCTTTTATTCCATTCCTATTTTTTTTAATATTCAATAATAAATACTGTAATTTACTGGAAAATGTTATGCGAAAATTGAGCAACAATTTAAATTAAATTAAAAAAATAATAAATTAATTAAAAGATTAAAACAAATTTTACAAAATCCTGTAATAAAAAAAATCAAAACATAAACCTCTGGTAATATAAGCTTTCTTTATATTGATACAATAATATAACTATTATTATTTATGTGATATCTATTGTTAAGTGAAAAAAGAAGCAAAAAATACTTTATTTCAAATAATAATAATAATAAAAATACTTTTATTTGTTTTTTTTTAAATATGTAAACAAAATACATTTTAAAATTGTATTACTAAACATTAGTTTAAATTAAAAAAAATTGACTAAACTAAAATTTTATTTTTAATAATATTATATAGAAATGCATATATAATTTAAAAATATAATTTAAAAATATTGTTATAGATTTTTTTCAATAATCGAAAAAATTAAGTATTTACAACAACTAACTATTAATCGAATGCATTGGCGTTACAATGCACGTATACGATTATCTGTTGTCTATATATTTATAGTTATAATAGTTATAATAAATATTCGGATACAATTAAATAAACCTATAATTTTCTTCTTAAAATTTGAACAAGGAAAACTTTTTTTTTTTTAATTTTAAAAATACACAACGAAAACTTATTATTACTGTATATGCATAATAAATTAAGATACAAAATAAAATTCAATAAATAAATAAAAATAAATCATAATAATATTTAAAATAAAAAATATATATTTTCATTTTGTTGGTTAACAAAAATTATAAGTATTTTTTTAGTAGCAAACAATGACGAGGATTTAAAAAATAAAGGATCGGATATGGGCCTGGATTTTAAAAAACATGTTTTCAAGTTTCTACAATAGGCGTGGATTTTTATTTTTCAAGGATCCTTAAACATTAACTTTTTTAATGTCCTACCAAAGGCGTGGATTTTTTAAAAATATATTTTAAGGTCCTAACAAAAGCATGGAGGTCTGAAAATATTTTTAAAGGTCCTGCCAAAGGCCTGGATGTCAAAAAAAAAAATTTTTAAGTTCCTAACAAAAGTGTGGAGGCCAAAAATTATTTTTTTTAAGATCCTGCCAAAGGCGTGAAGGCAAAAAAATATTTTTAAGGTCCTGCCAAAGGCGTGGATGTCAAGAAATATTTTTTACGGTCCTGCCAAAAGCCTGCAAGCCAAAAAATATTTTTTTAAGGTCCTGCCAAAGGTGTGGAGGTCAATAAATATTTTCTAATGATCCTTTAACCGACAGGGATTGTTTAAAAATGTTTTTAAAGTCCGAAGGAATGGATTATTAGAAAATATTGTTATACCCTACACAACTATGTTGTCAGGTTGTATTATAGCTTTGTGCAGCCTAAAGAGTTTGTAAAGCCGCGAAATATTGGTCCTAGACTCACCATTACTACACCGATTGTTATATCTAAACTAGCTGAGTCGATCTAGACATGTGTGTACGTCCGTCTGTCTGTCCATAATAATTTGTAAACACGATACAGGCCACATTTATGGACCAATCTTCACGAAATTTTGCATGTAGGATGGGTTCTGGCAAATGAAGACCCCTATTGTTTTTGGTAAAGATCGGTTAATATTTTGGGGATGAAATTGAACAAATACATTAATTTTGTCTGATTTTCTGGTTGCTCCAGAGGCCGCAATTATGACCCAAACATCCCGAATTTTTAAATGGAGAAGGGGATCAGACCAAAGAATATGCATGCCTGTTTCGATAAAGGTTTGTCATTATTTAAGTATACCGATCGTCATATCTCAGCTAGCTGAGTCGATCTAGACATGTGTGTGTGTCCGTCCGTCTGTCCATTATAATTTGTAAACACGATACAGGCCACAGTTTTGAACCAATCTTCACGAAATTTTGCATGTCGGATGGGTTCTACCCAATGAAGAATC